GAACTTCAAGAGCTGCTGAAGTGTCGCAACCGCCGGCTGCGGCTACAGAAAGAACAGCATGGRAAATATTGGGTGGTGCAGAACCTGATTAGCGGACGACTCAGTCGTCGCATGGCCTGCGCCGAGTCCATAACGTACACCACCAATGGCGATTATACGTTCTTCGATAACCTCGAAACAATTGCCGATCGGTGAGTAATGTGCCCAGATCTAAGAATTTTAGTTACGAAATATTCTCCTTATCACAGCTATTCCGTATTCAATTTAATTTTAATACGTGCTCTGACTATGCAAGTTTTTTATTTCAATAATGTTTAAAAAAAAAAAAAAAATTAATGATTTTCGCAATTAAAAAAATTTTTAAATTAAATATTTTTTCTGTTCATTTTTGTTGTCAACTTTTTTATTCATATTTTAATTCGGATGTTTTTTTTTTTTTCAAGTTTTATTTAAAAATTTTTCTATCAACAATTCATTTTAATCAAAACTTGAATTTTTTTTTATAATTTTGTCAAATTTTTTATATTTAAATTTTTTTCTATTAATTTGTTCAACTTTTTTATTCATATTATTTTTTCTTATTTAAAAATATTTCTATCAACAATTTATTTAAATTAAAATTTATATGTCCTTATACTCAATTTTTTTATCAAAATATTTTTATCAATATTTTTTTTATTCAATTTTTTTTTTATATTTACTTTTTTGTTTATTTTTTAAATAAAAAGTTTTGTATTTAGTTTACTTGTAGAGGCTATAAGCCATCATATAGATATTTCTCCACAAAAGTCTACTTATTGTAGGGTGCGAGCCCATTTGGGCTTCGTAATTATCTTGAAAACGCATATACATCCTCTCTTGTGACCTATTTTATTCCTATTACATTCATATCATTGGTCAGATACAAAATTTTATTTACTAGTCTACGAAAAACAAAATTAATGCGAAGTCGTTATTTTATTCTATTCAACAATTCTGCAACTGTAGGAATCAGAAGATGCCCATGTAGATTTTACTACTCAGAGTCATGTGGATTTTTATCAATTTGAACCACTTCCCAATGTGCGTAGATACATTGTTTATTTTGTGACGGGGCTTGGCTACACTGGCATATAAAAATATTTAAATTTTTCAATTATAATAAACCATTTATAGCAAACTATTTAAATATTCATAATTTGCCACTCCTTATTCACGTTTTGTAAACAGATTTTCAATTGATAATACCAAAGGTAACTTGGAAAAATTCAATTATTTATCAGAATCAATTTTAATAAAATTTCAATAAACATAACAATTCGTAGACAATAAATTAATTTGCAATAAAAAATCATAAATTAACAATCATCAAGCTAAGTTATTGAGTCTCAATATTGTTAAGGTAATCTGAATGGATCATTAAATTTAAATAAATTGAACATTAATGAACTATGGGCGAGATAAAGCTAATTTTATGAGCAGCTAAATTGGCGCTCTGGTTTCGAATTATGATAACTTGAAAATAGAGATAAGACTTTTGTATCTTAAAACCAGTTGAAAATGCTTGATTGGTATATCAGGTCTAAAGCTTGTGGCGAAAAGTATGTGAACGGCAGGATGAAGTGTGGTAGATCCCATAAAGTATAGACACGTTATACTTTGCAGAAAGATTGGCAAAATCGAATAATATTTTTGACATTTATATATTAGATTCTGTTTTATTTTTTATTATTTTTATTTTTATTATGGAGTGGAGAACCTGTACATCAAAATTTAATTTTTTAACAACACATTCAATTTAATGCCTAATTATTTATATTATATTCCTATAAACTGATTTCAATGTTATCAATACAAATCAAATCCCATATGCCTAATACATACGTTTTTATAATACATAGACAAATTGATTTTAGAACTTCTTTTTAACTCAACTTCTTTCACTCATTCAAATTATTTTGCATATTTACAATTCTTAGTCATACTTGGAGAATTTCATTTATATAGTACTTCTAGAACTAGAAGTTATTCAGCAACTAATTTGCCATAGTGCTGCAGCAGCAGTGATCAATGCACGTTCTTGCGTATGTATATGTGAGTATATATGTACATGTCTGTATACCTTTAAAGAGGTATATAAGAATCTAGAATGATTCAAAAGGCTGATGACGCCTACTTGTGTATAAAATTCTCATTCAGAACTGGGAATTTGAAAAGCATGTGATAATATAATAAGCTTATATTATGCAGTATTTATTTTGTATCGCAATGAGACAGTATCTTCTCATTCACCAATCCTAAGATCAAGTGTGAAAATGATCGAAAAAGAAAAAAAGTGAATGGTAAAATTAAATATAGCTAATGCAAAAGGTAGAAGTGGGTGTGGAGAGCGAGAGAGTTAGAGGTCATTACTTAAGATCTATAAAGAAGACGCCAGATATGTATAATCTGACAAGGAATTTTCACATTACTCAGTTTGTTTGGAATGCGATCGTATCGACATACATATATAACTTTATAAAATTCTAATTAGCTATTCAAGTTCTACACAATTTCTACCTTGATTATGTTGACCGTTTTTCAGGCAATGATAAAATAAATATTTAAATTTACAGTGTATAATCTTTACGTTAGTTATCATTTTTTACTATTTACATTATTATCTATACAAAAATAAAAAAATATTGAAGCTACACTCTAAATACGCAATACTAGAATTTTAAATCGAAGTATTGACATTTTATATAGGAATTTCTAAGGTCGAACTAAATTGATTATAAACACATGCAAAATAATGTAAAAAAAAAAAAGCGGCATTAAATTTCTGTTAGATTTAAAGTTTTTAAATGTTTAAAATATAATGAGAATAATATAATTTCCGTTAGATTACAAAATGCTTATTAAATTTAAAGTGTTAAAATTGTTCTGAGAATATTTTCTATCATAGAAATGCTCTTAAGAAGACATTTTCAATGACTCAAATAAATATTTTAAGTGAATTTTACTATATTGATCAATTTAATTTATTAATATAAATATTTTGTGGCTTGGATCAAATTTAATACTTTCAATTTCAAAGCTGAACTATGAATGTACTTTTGGTTTTTTGAACATGTTTTTGATCTACCCTAAATCCAACTATTTGCAGGTGGTTCGGCCCCATTAGCTTTGCCATACACACACCTGGCTATGATCTGAATGCCACACTAGATGCCATTCAGTACGTGAGAAACTGTTTGCCTGGCAGCCAGTTGATCAGCGACTTTGTTAGCTTTCACGTTTACTTCTCCAATGAGCACATGCCCGAGTATGTGCCGTTCGATGAGGAGGAGGCCCTCAATTGGCCCTACCGATGCGTGGATGAGAATGGCACTCTGTTGGCACCGCCCTATCTGCAGAACCGGACGACCATGTACAAGGYGCAGGCCAATCTGACGTATCCCATCAATGTGGGCCGAAATATCGCTCGCAGGGCTGTCAATACGCATTTCATATTCGCCTGCGACATCGAGCTCTT